ACAAACACAATGGTCAACCTCACAAATACAAATCCAATTAACTATAAATAAATAAAAGAAACAATTCATCATGGATTCACACCACATCACACATCAACACACAATTCACAATCTGTCATACTCAACTGAATAATCAAAAATCATAATAATCAAAATCAAATTCAACCACTCAACATCAAGTGGACTGACTCTGTGTTTCACAAGTTCGATATTGATATCACACAAAATGGAACCACTTCTTGATAATGTGGAAATTCTATTGATTAAACTGATCCAATTATGATGATGATGGTGATGATGATGATGAGTATGTTACTTGACTTGATGGTTGATCTCACTGTGTCAAGAAGCAGAAGAGCAAATAGGTGTGTTTATGCGTGTTTGTGTGTGCATGTGTGTGTATGTGTGGTCACCAGACGTACTCAATGGTCAACTGCATTCACACTTCCATTCTCTTCAGATTAGTTTGTTGATTAGCTATTTATTTAATCAATATCATCAAATGGTATAGTATCGTTCTCTTATGGTCTTATGTGTGTTATCACATCCCTCACCTCAGTAAGTAGATAAACAAATAAACAAACAAACAAATTCATAAACAGTCAAATCATTCAGTCAGTAAAATGGACTTCACATTAATGACAATAATCAATTTAGACGATTATAATTAGAAGGAGTGTTCTGAGTCGATTGAAGTATAACAAGAATAATCATCGACAATTCACATACTTCTTAGGTAGATTCATCATACTGAGTTGATAATTATTGATAAGTGAATAATGAACAAGAAACAACAACATCATGAAACAAATAAACAAGCAAACAGACTATAGATCATTGACTAGAAATACAGTAAGTGGTCATTCATATCTCATTGTATGTACACTTGTGAAAGTGGTTGGAAGTCTACTTATTCAAATTGGTCATATGATCCATATGATCTCACATTTCAATAATAATAATCATAATCATAACAATAACAGACGTAATTCACTTGATGTATGTCTCTGTCTCTCTCTCTTCCCTCACTCTCTCTTTCCGCTTGTGTGTGTGTGTGTGTTTGTGTTTGTGTATGTATGAGAGGGTGTTAACAAGGTGTTAACAAGGCAATTCAGCTCTCCTCATGAATACAAACATGAGAGGTGAACGATGTAGAAATTCGATTAGAAAATTTCATACAAATTGATGAATAGATGGATCTGCAGTGAAAATCATCGTAGTTATACAGGTGAACTCAATGTAACTACAATAATTTACAGACAATATGAGTAGTGTTGTGGTGATAGTTGGACATACCCTCTTCACTCCTATTCTGATCTACAAACACTGTCGAAATATCGATAGACACACTGATTGCAGAAAGTGTTGAAGGATCAGATTGTTTGTGTTCATTCGTGAATCGATGTAATCAGTCGTCATATCACATCACATCACTTGGTGTTACTGGTAATTCAGCTCAGTTCGGATCAGTTCAACTAAGATGTGCTAGCCAATCCTGATATGATGAGTGAAATGGAATATTCCTAACGACTTGTTTTTATTATTCACTTATTGAGTGAGAATGTAATGTACATGATGCAAGATACACAAGATATAACGAATCCTATACTCAACCTATATTTACTGCAATCAATCACTAACTCAATGAAGAATGATTCAGTTCATACCATCTCACCATTTATAAACTCATTTCGATTCATCAACATTACTTTCCCCATTCACAACAATCATGACCACATCCATCTGAGTTAATTATTATTATCATTATTATTATTATAAGTGGTCATTTCAAGTTATCTTACACCAACATCGATTATCTTATCAAATTGTGACGATGACAACAACTAAATATCCTATCACATCTACACAATACACAATCATATTCATCATTGTATCAGTCTAATAATCAAGTTGCAACACATCCCAATGATACACAACATACACTGAGAGAATGTGTATGTAACAGAAAGAGAGAAAGAGAGGGATAGAGAGAGACTGCGAGTAGAGTATAATCATACATTGTTTAGTGTTGACAAGCATTAATTCAATTCTACAATCCAGTTTACACTGTTATCTGTTTGTGCCACCCCACCCCCCAACATACCGACACACTAATTCACAATTATAATAATGGGTTAAGCTGAGATAATTATGAAATGAATCTATGATCAATTTCATTCAATTGACCATTTCCTCATCAGCTTACAGACCTATAATTTAGTATATTTCATATTCTGTGCTCATGTGAACACATTAACAAATAGAGAAATGCTAACCGTGTCGGGTGGTGAGAAGATGGGGATTGTAACTGAGGGAGAACGATTTCAATTTTCCGTGATATTTTTTACAAAAAAACATCATTCATTCACTCATTTCCACACACTGACGATGGTTAGCAGTGGAATCCAGTTTGACGCGTGTTTCGTCCTATGTGGGACTTGTCAACTGAATGTACCTGCATCTCAGAATTGATGTTCTCTTTGGAACTGCAACTGAAGTGACCCAAATAGGATGACACGCGTGTCAAACTGGATTCCACTGCAAGCAAGCACTATCCATCTTTGCTTATCATGTTTGTGAATTAAGGCAATATCGAGGCAATCAGCACCGGATTCACACAAGTCAATAAGAGACTGATCAATTACAGTCCTGAATATCAATGGGAACATTCATGCAAACAATGCTAAGTGAATAGATCAATTAGTTTTGCAAAACCGAGATTTGTTGGAGTAGTTCAGTGAATCGACAGAAGGTAGAAATACGAACAAGTGAAGGAGATCGAGAACAACTCTCTTCGGAATTCTACTTGATGGAAGATACATTGTTGTGATGGTGATATTCACACAAGCAATCGACTGACGGCAAATTCGAAAGACCATTTGGTTGGTTGAAATTTCAAAACACTGAAATGTGAAAAGACGATGGATACATACACAACAATTCACATGTCAACTGTTCCACTGAAAATAACAACTCAAGTGTTTCTCTGTTCATCCTAATTCGACCCGATCATACTCGGATGTTCTACAGCTCTGAAATTCCACCATCATTCATGTGTCTGAAGCCAAATGTGATACAACTCCAAAGCTTGTTCAAAATCATATGAGATTGAGTCTAATGACTTGTTGCATGGTCTGACACATTTCATCACATAAATGCGTGAATTCTGTTAATAAACTGTCAGATAAAGCTCAATGAATGAGACTGTCAATCTTTGGAAATCATCTCATGGACACCAGTTTGTTGATTAGCACATGTACTGATCGACTTCATAATGAAGTGCACTGATTCTATGCATATGTATTGTGGTTCATTAATTGTGTTAAGGAGTGGTCTACGAACGAAAATAAGCAACGTGATCGACTGTTTGCTTATTCGTTTTCTCAATCAGATATTATGAATGGAAAGATGTTGCATGTGTGTGTATGTATGTGTCAATATTAGTAAATACACAATAGAGCAATGAGACTAACCGCTGTTAGTGGATATTTGATAAACGACAAGTTGAATGAAGATAAATTTGACTAGACAACATTCACAATAAGAGATAATATGTATCTCTCTATCTCTCGTAGCAACTAGTTAAACACTACAATCGAACGCCACGTCATTAGAAACTTAGCAACCTCTAGTGTATCAGACATGAATTATTTAATCATATCAATGCCATGTACTACTATATTCTTCCATCATTCATACAATAACTGAAACGACGACTACTACTACTACTACTACTACTTCATTCAATGAGAATTATTACTGAATGTGAGTGTAAACACAGGTTCACAGGTTCATAACAACCTTGTAAAACAAAGTTAAACTCTCATGGACTCGAACCACACATCGATACAATACTTAACCATCCTCATTCACAATCGACTTCCATCCGACTTATGTAACCTTCTTCAATTTACACAACAACAATGAAATCGTCTACTTAGTCAAAATCAAAAGTCATGTAACGATGTTTTAAATCATTATTAACCAGTACTAGTCAGACATATGAGGAATGGAATGGAATGGAAAGGAACAGATATTCCCATAATGTTTTATAGTAGAATGAATTTCCGAAACCTTAAGGGAATCAATGATATTCTGAGAAGTGTCACTGTTACACACACACTAAGTCGTCCGGTTTATATGGACATGACAACAACATGAAGAACAATGTGAGAGAGATGCCGACAGACAGAAGACACCGAATCAATTGTGATGGAATATTCTACTTCAAATCTACATTTAGTCATAATTTGTTCTATTTTCATCAGTAAACAGATGATATTCATATCACACACACAACACGCCTACACACAAGCACACACACAATTACCCCTCCCTATTCCGGTGAATTTCTACAAACAAACAATAAGTAAGTTCACCAGTGACACATACACATTCAATTAGCCTTCGTAACAAAACAACAGAAAATCAACAACACGAGGACATCAACTACTACAACTAAACAACAACAAGTTCAACCACGTTTTCATTCGTTCACTGGACAACATTTATTTCATTCCACTTTCATCAAGTTTTCCTCACTCCCTTCTCTCTCTCAGACACACACACACTCCCCATTACTTTCAACCAATCAGTGAATGATGCGTCCAATCTCATTGTGTTTTCATTGGTCAATCCAACATGAACCAATAGAAAGGTAGATCGTTGAGCAAACTCGTTATTTTTGTTTCAGCATTCAACCGAATATCTTCATCAAGGATCACCCAGTTCGTTTGATTCATACAGAATCACATTCTCTTATTCACATTGTTCAGTTCATACTTCTTATATTGTGATTGTGACAGAGAGAACATCAACATTACAACTGTGATTAGTGACAGTTCACATTACGATTCATCAGTTTGATGTCCTGTGGAATACTTGGAACAAATCAATCATATTGACTGGAAAGTATCATAACCACTTCCAAAGATAACTTCATTTCACACTCATACTCACAGGATCTTTACAAACTCATCATTCACTCGTCTCTCATTATCATGTCATACAACAATACACTTCCATCAAATATTTTCTCCAATCACCACCAATTCATGCAAATTTGTGATTATGACGACAATGATGTTGATGATGATAACAATCATGATCATACTAGTAATACCAGTCACAATATGATCCATCCAACATCCAACTGGTTCACACCACAAACTGCACAGGCGATCTCATCCATATTACCCATTCCCAATTCTACCTCGTCCACATCTATGATTCACACTAATGTCGATAATCACAGTGATTCTCACTCATTTTCCTCACAAACAGATCCATTCCGCTTAGCATTCGAAACATCACCTATTCATACAAACACTATTCATCATTACAATACGAATTGTAATCGTCATCTTCATTCTGGTATACAACAGTACAACTCCTTGTTCATTCCATACCACAATTACATCAATCAATGGAACAACGTGCAGACGAACAATGTCACTCCACCTGTCAACGACAACCACAACACTGTGAATGTGGCCAAAATAAAGGGATTACATCGCAATCATCCACAACGTCGTCAACATCATCGTCATCACCACAATCACCATCGCCATCACCATCAACAACAATTCCAAACTCACAATGTCAAGCCGTGTGATCTGATCACAGAAGATGAACCGAAACCGAATTTCAGTTATATTGGTAAGTCTGTAGTTGTTTGGTTAAGTGATTGATTCACTGATTTATTTATTTATTGATTGATTGATTGAATGCATGACAAGGATATTCCTCCTTAATTTCAGTGAGTGGGTGATTTGTTGCATACCACAGTCATTATCTACGAAGTACACTGATTACACCATGTGATTGATTGTAAATAAGAATGTGAGATTTGTGGTTGTGGGTATTTTCACGACTGAATTAGTGAGGGAGATCATTCCATGTGGAATGAAACGCACACTGTAATCTCTTTCATTAAATATGATTGACAATTTAAGTGAAATATATGTGACACTCAGATATCTGTTTTAGTGCCACATACACGACAAACAACTAATCCGTTCATTCCTCAAATATAAATCAACAACGAGAGAATACTTGCATTGAATAACTGAGAGAACTTTTGTTTACCTTGTAGAAGGGAGAATACAGGGTAGTGAGTGCGAGTTTTTTAGGATAGTACGAAACATACATTCTCTCCTCATTCCATTGCTACTTACACTCATAATAATTCAGTAGTCCGATCCAATAAGTCTCAACAATAATGTTTTCGTTGAGAAGATACAATGAGAAATTCTGTCAAGTGCTTCATGTTATTCACTGAACTCACTTTCTCAATCAAATGTGTTTGTAATCATGCAACACTTCTGAATTGATTCGATGTTTCCTGATCAATTCATTACTGGTCAAGTCATTTAAGGTTAGTCAATGATTCAGCTGCGACTTATGTCATTTGATGATTATGTAGTTGCTGGTTTCCTCGGAAATATGTTCAGTGGATTTCGAATATGCTACTCAGTTGTTCAAATGTGGGTAGAACACTACTCGGATGTAATGCACACAAACACATACACACACACACACACGATTTTCAACATTATTTCTTGTTTGATAGGATGCCTTTGTCCATTTGTTATGAGTGATATTTCGATAGGTTGATTACCCTGAAACGATAACCGACTCCTTCTTCATCCCATTAACTATTGAATGACGTTTCCGTTAGAGATCAAGACCTAAGCAGTATGTGTAGATATATATGTATATACATTCTACGCTTCTCACTTGGTGACATTACACTCCCATCGCACAATGCATCAATTCATCAACTACATTGTCTTCATCATCGAAAACATCAGATTGCGATGTAAAATCTGTAGGTCAGATAGTGCATTTATCGATCTATTCAAATATTACTGTTATTGTTTGGATCTGACAACATTACAGTAAAATACTCGATGTTATCAGATCCATTGAACTATTCCATGATCAGATATCTTCAATCGAATACTGCGGTTTTGTTCATATTGTATAGAGAAGACATTGTATGCGAAAGTCGAAATGATTGATCGTCGTCATTTAACAGTGTGGTTTGTGGTGAATTCACAAGACAAAGTAGATTGTGATTGCACAAATTCGGTGGATAATGCCTCACTGTTCACCAACAAACTGTCTGTCTGCAGTTTCAAGTGTTCTCGTCAAATGTGGACATTTAATGTGTATAGATATTTGTAGAGTTTGACAGTTTACTGTACCACGCCAATATCAGTCTGCGTTCGTCTAAATTTGTTAGGTGCTGTAGTTAACTTACTTAACAGACTTTGTCATTAGAACAGCAACTATTTGTCTACATCTTCCTATTACTTCTATTATTCTCTTGTGTGTATGAACATGTATGTTTGTCACAACCTTCACAGAATTCCCTCTTACCTGCCTAAATGTTAAATGTTTAAATCACTCAGTCACTCATTCCATTCCCATAATCATATCTATTTCCTCACTAAATCTGATCAATTCATTCGTCTCATTATTCATCCTCAATGGATCTCATTCACATTTCTTCCCATATTCTCTTTGTGTACTTGTGACTTTGTGATCTCAGTTGTACCATAATCAACAGTGATCAACGACTCGTTTTGGCTTCTCAAATCTATATATTCTATTCGGTGTTATCCATTCACGGTGATCACGACAAGTGATATCTACTAAGCATTAGGAATCATCTCGAAGATGATATTCCACAACAAGTGTCCATCATTCAACAACTAATTCAACCGAGTGAAATACTAGTACAACTAGAATCGTGAAATCTTAACAGAGATGGAAGACACATGGATTGTGTGAATGAGTGAAATGACACAACTCCACAAAACCGGTTGTTTCATTGATACATTCTCATTGTTATCACTGATTCGACCAAAATCAATTTCACTCATACAATACACAATCCTTATTATTATTATTATTATTATTATTATTATTATTATTATTATTATTATGAATAAACCGGCATATCCATTCCACATTTCCCACAATTTGCTTTCATTTGTGTATCCATTTCATGTGGATTGAATGTCCCACATAGAATCTCCTGTTAGTATTTTCCATTATCCATTACAACATATCATTACTATGAATAATAACAATTAATGGTATTATGATTATGATTAATGACCACTTATGACGTAATCATAATTGACTGTGATATACAATCCACTTTCAAGTTTACTTGATCAAGTGTGTGTGTGTGTGTTTGTTTGTTTGTTTGTGAGGGAAAGAGAGAGGGAGAGTGTGTGTGTGAGTGAGTGTTAATTAACGCTGATCGGTAGAATACTCTCAATGATAATCATAATCATAATAATAATAATTTCTGATGTCTGTAATGATGATGACGATGATGATGATGATGATGAGGTTATTAACACGAGCTGTAGAATAGTGTCATGTTGATCTATCAGTGTGTTTGTGTGTTTCGACAGGCGTGGTAAACACAATTCCGGATAACCTTCAATTAATTTTCAAAGTGTTTTGATTTTCATCTCAACCACAATCATTCACTCGTTCATTCATTCATTCATCACTTACACATTGTTACAAATGAAAGGGGACAGTGTGTTCAATATGCTAATCAAGTGTTATAATATACCTGTGAGATAACATTGTATGTGAGTGTGTGTGAGTGTGAGTGAGTGAGTGTGGTTTGTACATGTGAGATTGATGTAAATTGTCACTAAAACAAACAGTTTGATTACTGTTTCCCAATGAACCACTTGCAACAATCGTTCGCATGTTTGTAGTTGAGTGTATGCTCTGCGAATAAACCAACACCTCTCCTGTTACACTCATGTCATAATAATTATAATAGTAATAATCATAGTTATATTGCTTCTAGTATACATAATCATCCATAATTATGGTGTAGAATTATGATGAATGGAATAAAGTTAACATTGAAGTGAACAGTACGCATATGGTGAATGATGAATTCAGTAAATGATAAAGTCGAAAAGAGAAAATTGTCGTCTGTGAATTGTCCCAATCGATCTTTATATTCAGTAGTATAATCATCATTATTCAATCGTAATAAGCACACAAATGATCATTGGAAATGGAAACGAACTCATTTGAAAGTGGACTGATATAATGAATATGTGACTGTTTGCGTGTGTGTGTGTATGTGTCTTCTTTCCGTCTATCTTAAATGACAAGACAAACCAATCGATTCATCATTTCATCTTCACATTTCGCTACTAATAAGTAGTAATCGAATGTTGCATATAAAATAATTAGTGAATAACTTCAGTCTCTTCTATTGACTCGAACTGATAGACTCTTGCTTATCGAATATGAACACACGGTGAAGTAATGCCATTCGATCACTGTGATCACTGTGGTCACTGGAACCAATATCCATTCGAAAATCAATTTCCTCCATGTTACACTTCAATCATCAATGAACAGATCTGTCGAACACACATCTTCACGAAATTCTCTCCCTCAATAAACAGCAGCGAAATCTGCGAAATAGTGGTAGACAATGAGGTGGTGTGAGATGTTGCTGCTGACTTCAGTATTGATTACCACTACGGAAGATATAACAGTCTTAATGTAGAATTGACTAGACTTCAACAGACACCGACCTAGTATTTCAATGTAATCAGTGAATCAACTGGTAATTCTAATAGTGCACACTTAAATCTCAATTAATTTGTCATTTATCCACATATTATTCAGTAAAATTGACCATTTGTTTATTCTCTTCCAATCGAAACATTCTAGGATTGATTGCAAAGGCCATACTCAGTACACAAGAAAGACGTATGATATTGTCAGAAATCTATCAATGGATTCAACTACGTTATCCATATTTCAGTACACGTGGACCAGGATGGCGTAATTCCATTCGACACAACTTGTCATTGAATGATTGTTTCATTAAAGTCGGTAAGTTGTTAGGTGTTGTCGTGATTAATTTGTTATTGCAATTGTGACATTTCACTCACTGATTCATTCCATTATGTGAACAGTGTGTTTTGTTCACCGAAATTATCCGAATGACGATACTGAATGCGTCGAGTGACTGGTAACTGGTCAGTGGTCATTCATTCACCCGGTTCAGTGGCATAGACATTCGGTGTCGCGCGCGGCATCGTGGATGCACAATGTCCATAAGTCCCATATCAGAACAAAATGTCCGTCCAGTTCTCTCAGTTTTTCAATGGTGGCCTAACATTTATCCATTCATAATATCAATCTATACGCAACAATATCCACAATTCAATACTGATAATCACCACCAACATTCTAAATATCTACTCAATGTAAACTGGAAAACCACTACCTATCGGAAAATGAATATGTGAGGGAGACTGGTGATGGCAGTAAGCCACTCACTCCCAATTATCACCATAAATAATATTTCAATGTGCACAGATGAAACCGTGATTTCCATGGAATGTGAGACGTGACGATTATGTTCATAACTACTCAGTGTAACTCATGGTGAACAATCCGTATTCCACATCACGGTTAATCAAGAAACACACTTCAACCGTTCAAACACATCATGTTGAAGATTGCTTCCTGATTGCCAATCAACTTTTCGACAACTCGGATGTTGATTTCACGTAGTTCATTTACATGCTCCACACAATTTATCACTCACCAAATGAATCTGATTGAAATCTAATTGATATTGTACATTTATTTGACAGGTAGAGCAGCAAATGGGAAAGGACACTATTGGGGAATTCATCCAGCCAACTTGAAAGACTTTCTCAGTGGTGACTTCAGAAGACGTAGAGCACAACGCAAAGTACGTCGAGCATTAGGATTGAGTCGACCTGACGATAAAATTCATGATGATGATGACGACGACGATGATGATGATGATGATGGTGATGACGTTGATGGTGATGGTGATGATGGTGGTGGTGTTAGTGGTGATCGAGGTGATGACCGAAACTCACCAACCCTCAATTCTCCACTCATTCCACAAACATTTCTCCAATTTCTCCATCCATACGTACCCACATATCAGCTGACCAGGTCAACACTCACACCAAATTGCTCTCCAACACTCACAACACACAAACACACATTCAATACCAAATCATACAATCCACCACATACATCAATACCAATCACAAACACAATCACAAACACAAACATATTCACATTTGATCAATTGACCGATTCTACTAACAACCACCACACAAACAATCCATCAAATATCACAACTCCTCTCCTATTCAATCCATCACCTGTCCCACTCATACACAATTCACACCGACTACCTTACCAATCACCGATAAATGCATCACCGACAAGTCGAATGAACGATTCCACTGAATTCAAACAATCAATCCAAACACTAAACACCACCAATCAACTATGCAAATCGAGTTGCACCAACGACACATTGATCGATCTCTTCTACATCAATTTGATGCATTTACTCAAAAATCATCATTCATCTATTCAACCTGACATGGATGGTAAACGCACATGTGACAAACCTGTATTGCTGGTTCAAAATTCAATTGCAAGTACCAACCATACTACTACTACTACCACTGACAGTACCACTGTTACTACCAATAGTATTAATAACAATACACATACTACCGCCACTACCAGTACTACCCACACAACAAACACTATCATTCCTCTCAGTATTCCTATCTCTGATCATCATCGAGTTGATTGTCAATATGTGAATTCATCATGTTCTTCACTCGATCCTGTATTCCTCAGATCTCATCCACTCTCCACTCAACATCCAGTCAATGTCAGTTTCAATGTGGTCAACTTGATTGATCACAAACTTAATCAAAGTGATCTTGATCCTGATTCCGATCCTACTCGTAATCATGATGATGATGAAGAAGAAGGTGTAGTTGTTGTTGTTACTGATGTAAATAATGATGCTACAATCTCTAAAATGAAGAAGTCACAACAATATCATGTACACAATGAAGGTGATCAAAAGACTGATCTTGATCAGAATGAATCACAAGATGATGATGATGAGGAGGAGGAGGATATTAAACTGGAATTACATCCAGCAAAACTCACAACCAATTGATCAATCAGTTGTTTAAACATTATCCAATTCAAATGTATCATATTCATTTCATAGTTTAGATAATCCATTAGTTTACATGGTAATTAAATCATAAACTCTTTGTTCATTCAATGAGCAATTCATACAACTGCATAGCATCTATATTCTACAAATTGCTTGAATGATTTCTTTTGGAATTATTTTGATTGAATTTTGTTCTTTCATCTAGATGGTTTTGGTCGTGGAACTTTCATTATTATTCCAAACGATATCATCACATTGGAGTGTATAGTTTGGAATCTTCCATTGCATTAGACTAATGATAATATTTAGTAATTAGTTACTGTACTATACTATAAATAGCAGTAGGAAATAATGCCTAAAGCTATTTGGAGCGTTGATCTAATCGTTGATTGGTTTGTTGTTGACCTCCAATATTCTTCAGTTATACAACATTTATGTCAACAACAACAAAGTAAAAGAACGATATCCGATCACTTACAAGAATCTTTGTGGATTGATTGGAGTTAGACATTAACACCGCCGGATGTCAACTCAGTGGTCTAGAGGTTAAGCGTTCACATGCTAGACTAATAGATCTTGGGTTCGAATCTCGTATGGCGGGATTGTGGGCACTCATTGCTGAAGAGTCCTATACTAGGATGAAACGGTCAATCAATGCTTCAAGTTATCCATGGTGGTCCTTGTAAACATTTTTATTATCAACAATAGTAATTCAGTTAGATTGATTTTTTTTTGTTTTCTGAATGCCCCACCCCTCCTCTCCTCTGTAACGTTTTATTATATGTAACTATTCAATTTTCTCAATGTCTTTCATTTATTGATCGATCAATAAATGGTTATTTATCTTTTGAACTAAATCAATATTTGATCAGATCAATTAAATTTTCTTTTTTTCGTTTTCTCCATTGATTGTTTCTAGGGGAAAGAAATGTTGTTTTTTTCTTTGAATGGATTGTTTTCTTTCTGATTAGTGTTTTGTTAACAAGATTGTTTTTCATAAGATGTAGTTATTAATCTTATGATTCACTTTCATTTTTTTATTTATTTACTTGAACTTGGAACTTTCAGTAACCATGCAAAGGAATTGTGATCTTTTATTTAAGATGTCAATTAGGTCGGGTGATGTTGTCGACGAGCTCATTATTATAGTGACCCTGAATTTAACTGTAGTTGGATCGGACAAATGATTGTTATCAATATATACATGTCGGCTATCGTTGTATATTTCATTAGGGAATTAAATAAGTCAAATATGAGAATGGATGTTTGAATAAGTATATTTTGTATACTAATAGATCTGGACAGGAAATCTGAGGGATGAAGCAAATAGAAGAGAGTGAAGCCAAATGACGTGCGGTAGAGTAAGAGTGTGAGCCAACTCCATTTAGTCAAGTGTTAATCAATATTTATAACCAGATAAAAATAAGTTACAGACATGTGATGAATAGGATAAGAAGTGTACATCAGTCAGTCAGTAACAACGTAGAACTTCGTAAGTACGTACGCACATCAGTTCGAGTTGCCACACCACATTAGCACAGAGATGCAGTTGTCGATTCAAAACCCATAGTTCTAGAGGTAGTAAAAGTATAAGCAGTAATCGGAAAGATTAGAGTTTGAAGATGTTATTTAAGGAATATAATCTGAAAAGAGAAAAAAAGGGACATTAAGAATTCAGAAGATTAGAATTTGGGATCCGCTGTAAACCAACATTACATGAGCGTTGGTTACTGAACCTGCGCCATTGCAAACGATTTTGAGCCATGTCATTCAAGGTCTCTAACCATCGGTTGCTATCATTTCGTAAATTTCAACCAGGTAGTCTGCACGTACCAACATAATTTAGTCCACTTGTCAGTGACTTTAAGGATTTATGCCATGTTTTTGGTCTGGATGCCCCTAACTTTCTTCCAACCTACTCCTATACCACTGAACATAGCACGTCGAGGTAGTCGGTCGTTGGGCATACGTAACACGTGTCCCAGCCATCTCAACTGGTGAAGTTTCACTACTTCATCAATCGATTTGCCATCCTTACCTAGTACCCGTTTCCTAACAACTGTGTTACTTACTCGATGGTTCCAGGATATACGAGCAATGTATCGAAGACACCTATGATCAAATACCAGTAACCTACGAATATCCTCTACTCTTACCGGCCATGTTTCACCACCATAAAGTAGGACGGAACGAACTATACATATATACACTCATATAAAAGCAGTCAAGGTTGATAAGTGAATAATGAACAAGGTCTAAACGTCACTCAAGAAGAATGAATAAATTAGGCTGTCCAGAAGCTAGGATAAGGTATATGAGCTTAACATAGTAAACGACATTACAGAAGTGGTTGAAATAAACTCAACTTGTTCGAATCAAATAATATTTTCAATGTGAACACATTTTGTATGTTATATTTGTCACAGATTAATGTCGGTCGGGATACTGTAATCAAACAAAGAGTAATAAATATGGACTTTGCACTACTGTAGGACTACCCAGTGGTGAACACCGATAGTCTCACCCAGGTTGGAGCTCATATCTTCCAGAATTCATGGTGACCATCTAACTATTGAGTCAACGTCCAACGGTAAAATAGTCAACTTACTTGTGACTTACTTAAAGATATTGTTGAAGTTTGAGGAGAAAGTTGTAACTGGTGGAACTCAGGTATGTCAGATATGAAACAACTGGCATAAGTGACATTGAATGTTACTTTACGTTATATTCCAAACTTATTGAATTTGAAGTATTAACAGTGAATACCGACATGGTGATTCTAGTAGTTCAACAATCTTCATGAGCTCTGGAGTATCTGAGCCTGACTCTCGATGAGGTCATGGGTATAGATTACTGAGAAATCCTATAAGAGAATTAAGCAGCTGTTCAGTAATCTCATGTTTTTAATTCTTTCGCAACTGAGATCAATCTGTAATCAATTCAACCTTTAAATGAAATGTGTCTTCATGAAACTTCTTCAAAAAATGTATGAATATTAGTCAAAACTAATGTTTATCACAACCTATATGTTATTCATAAGGCTTGTTAGGCTTTAACTGAACGTCTTTAACATTACCATCTTAAGCGTTAACTAGACTTTTAGAAAACTTAAACTCTTGAACTCTAAACAAGGAGATAATACAACAAAACGTTTATCTCAAGAATTGATCCGACTATAGAGATCAAAGGGTGACTTTATGGCTTTGTAATCATTTTGAAACTATGCTTATATTATTGATAATTTATGTATTTGAATAAACATACTAGAAAAGAATATTGAGATGTATGCTACTGATGTCAACAGATATAAGTAGTATATATTGTTATATGTACTACTTATGTTTATATAAGTAGTATATAATGCTAGTCAGGAATAGAATGTCTAGCATCAGTAGGTTGAAACGATCGAGGAGGTAAGAACGGGAACAGAAAGTAATTGGTATGGAAATGCAGGAACAATTAAATCTGAGACAATTAATGATGATTTTACAAATGAAGTATTTGCTGCATGACTCTCAGATACATTCGATTGTCTCCATTTGTGTGTTTTTTTTCCAATAGAGCTAATGAGCTAAAAGTAGTGTGGAATACTTTCCAATTTATGTCGATAATAGATGAAATTCTATTATTAACTGACAAACATGATTTTTTTAAAGCGATGTATATTAGAGAGGAGATTTTATGGAGAATGTAGTAATTTAATAGTTGAATTCATGAGCTCGACTACCATAGAAAACCTGAAAGTACTGGATGGCCGTTTCGTCGTAGAATGAAACTCTTCAGAAGCGCGCATTCACGATCCTAGAACCCAGGAACTCCGGTCTTGAGCGCAAACACCTAGCCTCTAGACAACTGAGTCGGCATCCAACGGTGTTATTATCTAACTTTAACTAGGATTCCCAAACTTGGAAGGAACGGCCGTCCATTGCTTCCAGGTTTCGAATAATGAACTCAGGTGTCTGGACGTATTCACTATGAGACTGTATATATATATATATATATATATATATATATATATATATATATATATATATATATATAAGTTGTATGCTAATTGACACTAGTTAAAACAGCGTACCTGAAGTCTTTACATAACTGATTCTGGATTACTTAGATTCATAGAGTGATAAATTACCATTAAGCTATTGGTCCATAAATTCTTACGGACTACCTCCAACCATCTAACATTCAAATGTAATATATGAAATGTTGAGTTAATCACACAAATAGCTACATTACAGCTTGATCAATAGAATTCAATTATCACTAAGGGCTATACAAAAATAACATTGGATAATATCTGAGAATCATTTAGCACTGAATGTTGATCGATTATCGATACGTAATTCTGTGATATCAGTTAGTACATCATGTTCGAAGGTTATTCAATTTCCGTAACTATGATAATAATTATGTAAATATGGTGAATAAGGAGAGAGAATACTGGTGAGCGGCCTATGCTCCTTCACGAGGAGTAACAGGTGTAAGTAAGCAAGTAATAGTGAATAGCATGGATAGTTCAGCTTAGAATTAGTCAATATATAAATTGATAAGTTATTGTCCTTTATATCAAATATTTGCATGGTGAATATACATTTATAGTAAAATAATTATGAATTCATGAGATGGATATTCTTAAGTAGACATTGGTTACTTACTTACATACTTAGGCCTGAAAATTCTCCTGGAGAAGTATAGGTCGCCTACCAGCATTCCCCATTCAATCCTGTCCTGGACAATCCTTTCCAGCTGCTATTCATTCTTTACTTATCTGCTTCCGATTCTCGGTGTAGTGCATTCTTCTGCCTTGTTCTTTTCCGTTTCCCTACAGGATTCCAAGTTAGCGCTCGCATCGTGATGCAGTTTAATGATTTCCGTAATGTATGTCCTATCCACTTCCAACCTCTTTTCCGAATTTCCTCTTCAATTGGGAGCTGATTTGTTCTCTCTCACAATAGGCTGATGCCGATGGTATCCGGTCAACGGATATTGAGTAT